TATGAGGGTTTTTATTGACACCTTCTTCAATTAGATCAATATTTCTTTGACTTACAGCTTCATTGGGCCTTCCTGAATGTGGTTTTTCTTCAATATTTTCTTCTCCACTTTCAAACTTATTAATCCACCATCTGATTGTCACAATTGAAGGTGCATCATTACCCCATGCATGTGACAAAAGTTGGTGAATTTCCTTAGCCTCCATATTGTTCTTCCAGCAGGTAAGAATAAAGAATCTATAATTTTCATGGGTAATTGAAGCCATTGGTTTTGATATCAGGTTTTTGAAATTAATTTTCTCACAAACTAACAAAGTAATTGCAATAGAGTTTTTTTTTCAGGAGAAGCTCAAACTCGCACTTTATTTTCATTGGCTTAAAATTTTTTTACAAAATTTCCTTTTTGAGTAAAAAGTAGACAATCAAAACTTTTCAACTGCCCCATGTACATTAATTTAATGTACCATCAAAATTATCATCATCTGCTCTGGGTATTGTATTTGTGTCAGGCTAGAAAGAGAAAAGCTCAAATGCTTACTACCAAATAAAAACATTTTACCAAAAAAAAATAACAAAAGATACTATACTTGTTTTTTGTCCTCTTCTGAAATTATTGTCTCTTGTCTAGGGCATTTGGATGAACGATCATCTTTATCCGTATTTTCTATATATCTATCATATGCACGTGCCTTCAGTTTCGATTCATATAAATTTTCTTTTGCATTCACGAGATTTTTGGTGGCATTTACAAGACCCTCGGTTGCATTCGTGTCAACCTGTCAAATAAGTTGGTCTACATATATGTACATACACACAAATTTAACAACGATCAATTAACGTACCTATGTATCAATTCTTTTAAAAAATGAGCACGTTGAAATGAATGTTCCGCAGTATCATACAGCTTAGAGGCTTTGTCTTTTGCTCTTTTAAGTGTTGATGTAGACGAAGATATTGAACGCAGATGATTCCTATATTTGCCGAGGATTTCGTCCTGATCTTCTGATGTCAAATGCACACACACTTTTGCTAAATGTTCAAGACAACCCCAGGCTTCAAACTCTGTGTTACTGAAATAGGAAGAAATTCCGCTTGAAATATCTAACTATAAAGAAAATTTAGAATAATTTAGTCACTATGAAATATGATACTGTAGGCATTAACTATAAGAAAAACACGGTAATGGCATTGACAAAAATGAGTTTCTGGAAAGAATTTGTTGCAACGAATCTATCTGAGGGGATTACAACTGTAATGAGTCCTAGTAGGCGTTGCAAGTCCCTCTTCCAAACATTGGCCGCAGGAATCCATATAATGGCCAGGTCACGTACGGACATAGGAAACTCATTTAAGTCTAATATACTGGAAAGAGTTTGTTGCAACGAATCTATCTGAGGGGATTACAACTGTAATGAGTCCTAGTAGGCGTTGCAAGTCCCTCTTCCAAACATCGGCTGCAGGAATCCAATATACAGTGTGTCAAAAAAAAAACCGGAAAATTGTATGCATAACAAAAACGCGTCTAGCATGCCCAATTTGGAACCAATTTGCAACGCGTTTGATTCAAAACAAACACAAAGAT